AAGCCAATTTACTTCGCTACTAACTGCCACAAAGAACAATACCATCACTTTTACTTTTTCTTGCAAAGAACTAGGACTTTCAAGCAATTAAAAAAATTAATAGTGATTAATTGCACGATTAATCACACTGTTAAACAATAGAATGCCATTTATTTAAATATTTTTGGATATTTTCTACATTTTCAAATATATTGATTTCAATTACAACACAGAATACAAAGTGTACAGCGCTCACTTAATATTTTTTATTACAAATATTTGCACTGTATAAAACAGAAGAAATAGTATTTTTCTATTCACCTAATACAAGTACTGTAGTGCAATAACTTTATCATGAAAGTTGAACTTACAAACGTAGAATTATATACAAAAATACCCAACTTCACTCAAAAATAAAACAATGTAAAACTTTAGAGCCTACAAGTCCTCTCAGTCCTACTTCTTCTTCAGCCAATCACTCAAACAAGTTGGTTTACATTTGCCGGAGATAAAGCTGCCTGCATCTTGTTTGCAATGTCACCTGAAAGTAAGAACAAGCATTCACATGGCACTATTGTTGCTGGCATCACAAGATATTTACGCGCCAGATGCGCTAAAGATTCATATGTCCCTTCATGCTTCAACCACCATTCCAGAGGATATGCATCCACGCCAATGACTGGTTCTGCTCGATAACGATCCAAAGCAGTGAGGACTGACGCACGTTCATTTTCATTATCTGAGTCAGATGCCACCAACAGAAGGTTGATTTTCTTTTTTGGTGCATCCGAAGAAGTGGGCAGTAGCCCACGAAAGCTTATGCTCTAATAAATTTATTAGTCTCTAAGGTGCCACAAGTACTCCTGTTTTTTTTTCAGGTTCTGTAGTTTCCACATCAGAGTGTTGCTCTTTTAAGACTTCTGAAAGCGTGCGCCACACCTAGTCCCTCTCAGATTTTGGAAGGCACTTCAGATTCTTAAACCTTGGGTTAAGTGCTGTAGCCATCTTTAGAAATCTCACGTTGGTCTCTTCTTTGTGTTTTGTCAAATCTGCAGTGAAAGTGTTCTTAAAATGAACTACATGTTCTAGGTCATCATCAGAGACTGCTATAACATGAAATACATGGCAGAATGCAGGTAAAACAAAGCAGGGGACATGCAAAATTCTCCCCCAAGGAGTTCAGTAACAAATCTAATTAACACTTTTTTTTTTAAAACAAGCATCATCAGCATGGAAGCATGTCCTCTGGAATAGTGGCCGAAGCACGAAGGGGCATACAAATGTTTAGCATATCTGGCATGTAAATACCTTGCAATGCTGGCTACAAAAGTCCCATGTGAACGCCTGTTCTCACTTTCAGGGGACATTGTAAATAATTTCCCATAAATATAAATAAACTTGTTTTTCTGAGCGATTGGCTGAACAAGAAGTAGGACTGAGTGGACTTGTAAGCTCTGAAGTTTTACATTGTTTTGTTTTTGAGTGCAGTTATGTAACAAAAAATTTACATTTGTAAGCTGCACTTTCATGATAAAGAGATTGCACTACAGTACTTGTATGAGGTGAATTGAAAAATACTATTTCTTTTATTATTTTTACAGTGCAAACATTTGTAATCAAAAATAATAATATTAAGTCAGCACTGTACACTTTGTATTCTTTGTTGTAATTGAAATATTTGAAAATGTAGAAAAACATCCAAAATATTTTAAAATTTTTAATTGGTATTCTATTGCTTAAGAGTGTGATTAAAAGTGCGATTAATCGCAATTAATTTTTTTTAATCACAATTAATTTTTTTGAGTTAATCACATGAGTTAACTGCGATTAATCGACAGCCCTGCAAAGAACACAAAACATTATGAAGAAAGAAGTCCTGGCTATTTCACACTCCTAAAAAAATAGATGCACAGAACTGAAAATTAACCACTTTCTAAAGAATAAATGTGGTTTGTTTAAATCATGGCACATGTCAAGGTATTTCTATAGCTTGTCTTAAAATTTTCTAACTTTCCCAGTAGGGTTGGAAGAATGAGAGAATAATTTAGTAAATCAATCAGTTTCCATGGTGGTATCCTACTTATAGCATGTGGAAGCTATGACACTATTTAGATGTCAGAAAAATGAAAAAAGTGTTAAAATGTTTTGGCAGAATTTTCAGACACGCAGTACAATGATTGCTTGAAAAATAAAGCATCTCTTTGGTATTTGTGCTTCAACTTACAGTAGGTTTGATTCCTGTCAAATCTTAAGGGACTATACTTTATTGCTGGAATGCTTGGTAATTTATTATTTTCTCAAAGTTTTCCCTCAGTTTGAGTTAAAACCTAGGTTTATTTAGGGTTAAATTCTCCTTTGATTTGCAGTGAGGACCTCATCCAGGATCTCCTGAAATGCTGAAGAATTAGTCCTTAGTAGATACAAAACAAGTATAATCATGTTCATGTTAAATCAGTTTCCAAACTGATTTATACAATAGTTTAATCATAAAAAGCATTGTAAAAGTTAAAAAAAATATTTTTTGAATATTTAATATTACATTTTTTTTTCTCTCAGATAATATAAACCATTAGTCAAGCAGGTTGGAAGTTGATTTACCTTCTCTTATATTGAACTCGTCTAGTGTTATAAATGACATCAGTCAAGTGCCATACACATTCAGATACCATGGGTATGTAGAGGTGCAGAATAAGACGCTAAACCGAACAAAATCATTAGGCTCAGAAATAGCAAATGTTATTATAACTTAACATTGTGGAAATATTAAACTATGATAAGATACATTTTATTATACACAATAGTGGATACCTAGATAATTATACTTTCTTGTGTACCTATATAATAAGATTCCAGGATTGTCACTCTGAAGCCTAGAATGTCTGAGTCAGTGATAAACAACTAGAAGGACGTGATACTTGACGGACCAGTTGCCAGCTTATGCCAAGGCCCCTACGCCTCACTGAACACTGACAAATGCATAGCTGCAAACCAGTCTGACTCACCTATGGAACAGTATTGTTAAAACAGGTATTAGATTTACAAAAATGTGTTTAGTGTTTAGACTTTATGAAACACTTAAGAGTTGTTGCATCTATTAATCTTACTTATAACTAAGGCTATGTTTTAGTCACGGGTATATTTAGTAAAAGTCATAGACAGGTCACGGGCCGAAAAGAAAAATTCACAGACTGTGACCTGTCCATGACTTGTACTATATACCCCTAACTAAAACTTGGGTGCTCCCCCAGTCAGGAAAGAAGCATTCCCAAGAGTGAAATGCTAGTTTACCACAAGAGGTGTTATCTTCTCTCCAACAAAAGAAGGCCCATAGACACCAGACAAGTCATTATAGAACATCAGCGGACAAAAGACTTTGTAGATTGCTCCTCCCACATCCATGAAGATGAGATGTGAAGGTGGACTCATCCCACCAGTTTGAGATCTGGAGGAATGAAATAAAAATCCCTGACAAGAAGAAATTGGGATCCCTCTGCTGCTTGGACTTCAGGGAGAGGGCTAGACTTAGAATCATAGAATCATAGATTTATAAGGGACAGCAAGGGTCATTTAGTCTAACCCCCCAGCCAAGATGTGGGATTTGTTGTGTCTAAACAATGTTGTGACTTCTAGGCATAAGCAAGGGATCCCTAGCTGTTCATCTTGGGTGAGCCTTAGAGGACATATAGAGCTTGCATATAAAAGCAGCTTCTATCATCTTTGAAACTTAAGACACTGACTCATTTGTGTGTGCATGTTTACCTGTTTTAACATTGTAAATAACTGTCATTTCTTTTTTCAGTTAATAAATTTTTAGTTAATTTATTATAGGATTGGCTGCAAGCATTGTCTTTGGTGTGCAATCTGAGGTACAACTGACTGACTGGGTAAGTGACTGGTCCTTTGGACTGGGAGTAACCTGAATATTATTGTGATTTTTGATGTAAGGGACCATCTATCACAAGGACAGTTTTGCTTGGATGGCAAGATAAACAGGCGTGCCCAAGGGAATTGTCTGTGAATCCATGTTAAGACTGTTAGGGGGTTCACATTTGATACTTGGTTAGAGAAATCTAAGTATAGAACTCACAACCAGTTTGGGGTTTGTGCCCTGGTTTGTAACAGCCTGCCCTGAAGTTGGCACTCACATTCATGAGCCACTCCAGACAGCCTGATAGCATGGTTGAGAATTCTTTTTGTTTAGAATATTACCAGGTTCAATCATCACTGGGATTCACAGTCTATTCTATACAATTTTTAAGTTCTCAGCCATTTGGGGCTTTTCCCCCACTTTACGAATTACACCCATGTGACAGTACTGGTTTTTACCTAGTGCATAAATGTATCCTTTTCACACACACACAAATACATATATACGTACATATACACACACATTCCAGTTTATTCATAATGACAAACACCTCCTATCTTGTAAACTTTCAGACAGCTGGGCTGAGCAAAATGACTGCAGTTGTCTTTTAAAATGATAATGTATTTTTGTTCATAGGGCATTCAATGCCCAAAGCTGTTTGGATGTCTAACAAAATTTTACTAATAGCAAAAAGGCAAATCACACCTGTGCAGACCAAAATGGAAAGATCCCAAAGAATCCCCTAAATGTAAAACAAACAGAATCCATTCTTCCCTCCAAAAAGGCACAATATAAAACTAAATAATCAACGAAATATGTTTTGAACTTCACCTGGCAGGTTGCCAGAGATGTACTGTACTCCATGTCTTGAAGACACAGCAGCATATGTATGTTAATTCACCAGCCTGTCTTTTAATCCACTATCATCTATGGCATCACTGCTTCAGAACAGATACTAAAGCGTTAGCAGTGGTAACATTTCTATAATATTGTGGTAGATGTACCTGGAGCAACATCCAGCTGTCAATCCATCTGCACATACAATAGAATTGTGCCAATTTTTACAGTGAAAGGATGTCCCAATTCAGACTTATCTGTTCAGTGGTTAACAATCAGAGCTGTTACTTGTTAGAGTAATAGAAACATTTTTTACCTTAGTATTCTGTAACTGAGCTAGGCTTGTGCAAGCATTTGCTAGAAGAAAGTCTCCACTCAGGACAGCTATTTTATTTCCAAACTGCATGTCCTTCAGTAGGCCATCACAGGACTTCAGCTCACCAATGTTTACTATCCCACGATGCACCAGGAAGGCAGTGTGGATCAACTCTGTAATCTCTGCCAGACTTCTTTGACTTAAAGCAAAGATAAGAGATTTATTTTTGAAGCCACAAACACAATGCAGATTTTTGACAACAAACCATTCTACAGTTCCTCATCTACACAAGAACGTTTTATAAAATTGTTGCTTCCCCATAAATCTTTAGAAATCGCAGTTCACGAGTGGTAATTAGAGAGTATATCACATCACCTGGGCATGTATAGCATGATAGGGTCAAATCCTCACAGCTTCTGAAGGGAAGAAATCTTCCTCTCAGTTTTATTTTATTAACTTTCTCAAAGAATTCAAACAGATAACTAGTCAACATTTTAAAAATATTTTTAAAGATTTTGACAATGTCCCTTAAAAGAAACTATTAGGAAACTAACCACTGGGTGCTCATAGTGGTGAGGGAACGAAAGATCAGGATTGGATTAAAACCTAGCTGAGTATTAGAAGAGTGCTGCAATAAATGACTGCTCCCTTGACTGGGGGAGGGGGATTAATAGTAGGATACCTTCTCACATTTCAATAATGGGGCCAGATTTTCTAATGGACAAGCAGTGGGCAAATGACATTTGATGATGAAACTAAGTTGATCTGTTTAGCAGAAACTGTGGAGATTATCTAAATTCCTCTGTGCAGCACAATGGTAAATTAAATTTTACTTGGACAATTTTACAAGTCAATTTCTCATTCTGATGTATTCTAATGGGCTCAATATAGGAGGCCCCAATCTCTGCACGGAAAAAAGTATTTTCTCTTTCTACATGGCTCCCCTTTCTATGGCAGTTTTCAGTTTTGGAGAAGAAGAAATGATGTAACAGCTGTAAGAACAAAATAATGTTAAATTTGGTGGACCAATATCAGAGCGTAAGGAATGTTCAGGGGAAGCTGATCACATATCCAAGTCAACCCACACAAAGAGAAAATTACACTTTGCCAACCCTTAGCCAGTAAGCAATCTATAAACAGCAGTGGCACTTGCCTCTCTTTCAGAGAGTGCTTACCTGACCTTCTACTTTGAAGTATGAAAGAAAAAGAAGAGGATAAAAGGATTTTTTCCCCCCCCTCAAGTGGTGATGTTTGGCAATTAATCTGATTTCAAGGAGACCAGACACCTGAGCCTATGCTAGAATCACAACATGTGAAGCAGGCACAACAACTGAATGCAAGTGAGAGAGAAAGAAGAACAATACCAATCAAGTAGCAAAGCAGTAAACTGGTTTGTTAATTTCACAGTTTGCAATTCATTAAATTGGTACATTTAGACCCTAATCTTGCAATTTAGGAAGCACAATCACAAACTTTACTTTAAGTAGTTCCACTGATGTCAATGAAAATGACTCACATGAGTAAAGTTATGTATGTACTCAAGTGTTTGCAGGATCAAGGCTTTAGATACCAAACATAAAATTAAACTGTAACCCTGCACAGAGCCCTTTTAGGTTCTCCATACTTATTCCCAAGGAAAAGGGTTCAGCACAGATTTATTCTGTAAATAAATTACCCCCACCTACCCATAGTGATCCATGTTTAGGTTAGATTTCTGCTGCATCATAACAGCAGGCAAGAAAGTAGAGCGGCTTGGGGGAGGTGAATTGAGGCTTCCATGATATTTATTACCATAGAACAAAAATTATTCAATTAAACAGTTTTAAAAGATGACATTATTTATTATTTTGCTTCATGCAGGGAAGTGTTACTCTTGAGCGACACAGCAGGGGGCAAAGCATTCACCATTTAGGCCACAAACTTCAAGCCTGACGTGTCTCAAAGAGGCAGGGGAGAAAATCCTTCGGTATACACAGCCACACGAACGACAAGGTACTGTACATATTCTAGCCTTGGGTATACCAAAGGGTTAACAATATTTCAAGCACTGATAAAAAAAAGACTAACAAGACATCCCGATGCTCCTGCTGTCATTGTCAGGGCAGCCCTTGGAGGAAATGTCCATATCAATTCAATTCATCAGATGGACAGCTGATCAACATTAAACAGTCTTGCTCTGGGCAGATTGAGCTGAGCTACCTGTTAGGAATACTAATGAGAGCCCTCTGCTCTCTACAACGGAGTTCTGCCATTTCTGACTGCTGAAGATCCCAGGACATATGGGGATCCCTAGTGACGAGCACATGAAGCTGCAGCTAACTCAAGTGACGGCTCATTTCCCTCAGCTGAAGGCAGACATTAATATTCTGAGGAGATCAGACCCACCTCTCTGACCCCCAACTATTGAAGCAAAACAACGACTGTCCTATTTCTTCATTTAATAAGCTTTTAATGAAGGAAACCAAAATCCCCTCTTTGACTTCAGCACAGCTCTCCATGAAAAGGTTGCATAAATACTTTCCAAATGCTTGGTATCTGGATTTTTTCTTTCCATTTTATTTTCTGTATTCAGTTTGCTCTCCAAACAGTATTCATGCTCTCATGAGTACCATGTTATACACATAATTTGGGGAAATTATCAGATGTCCTCTTGTACAGAAAGTCTATTACTTATCTTCTAATCAATGTACTCTTTTCCACCAATTTATCTCTCTCTTTGGGGAGTTACAACTTGGCTCTAAAAATTCTCTGCTCTCAAACTTGTTGCAGAAGCCATCAACCTAGGAGTTTTTTTTTAAATAAAGTACATTTATTATATTTTATTATTTTTATTGTGGTAGTACCCAGAAGCCCATTGCAATAGGCACAGTACAAACACAACAAAAAGATGGTTCCCACCCCCAAAGAGTTTATTTATTTATATACTTAGATTTACCCTTTTTGAAAGGGCCCTTAACAAAATGCTGAGAGCCCCGACAATTACATTTACAACAATACCCATCCTACAGCATTACTTAGTGAAGAACAATCATTTAAGTCTCATCCATAACAATACATATTAAGGCAGTACCAAATATATATATAAACTGTACAATATTCCATCTTGATCAATGAACTGAACTAAGTTTAGATGACTGATTCGTTCTCCAGTTAATCCAAATAAAAATAAATATATTTAGGTGTGATCTTATGGAAACTTAGGTTTATGGTAGAGATTCTCATATTTGCACTATTACATGGACCACATCTTAATAAAATGATTGCTCAGGAATCACTGCTACTCCCATTCATGATTACACTGACTGCTTTCCCCTCCTATTTATGAATGTGCAGTCCTCTCCAACTGCACTTTCAGCATCTCTTTCAGTGGGCCCTCTTCCTTTCCTCTCCCACTCTCTATTGAGGTTCCCCAAGGCTCTGACCTTGGCACTCTGCTAATCTCTCTTTATACCATGTGCTTGGGCGATCTCTTCAGCTCACACAGCTTCAGCTATTATCTGCATGTTGATGATTTACAAATCTCTCTCTCCACCACTAAACTGTCTCCTTCCACCCAATCCCAAATCTCAGTTTGTTTCTCTGACATTTCTTGGATGTCTTGTCACTTTACACTGAATGTGATCAAAACCAAGCTCCTTTATCTCCCTTCCCAGACCTTCTCCACTTTCCTACTTTATCACTCTTGAAACCACCACCAGCATCTTCTCCGACATCCAGGCTCTGTAACCTGAGTGACATTTTTGACTCCTCCCTCTCCTTTGCCCCACATATCTAGGCCATTTTCAAATCCTGCTTCCTCCTTAGTATCGCCAAGATCAGCCCTTTCTTTTCATCCCCACAGACAAATCACTGGTTCAGGCCCTCATTATACCACAACCTCCTCTATGGCCTCCCAAATACACACTGTGCCCCTTCAGTCCATATAAAATGCTGCTGTCAATTTCCTTGCCTGTCAGTCTGATCATACATATCCCCTCTATGAATGCTTCCTTTGGCTTCCCATGAGATATAACAAATGTAAACTTTGTCACCACCTTCAAAGCTGTACATAAATATGCCCCCTGTATACGTCTCCTTCCTTTGTCAAACTTTGCACTGCTGCCCATTCCCTCTGCGCAGCTAACATCCCCAACATCACCTGCCTGTTTATCACATTCTCAAATAACCCCCATGCCTTCTGTGACGTTGTGCAGTCTATATGGTTTTATAAAAACATGATAAGTGAATATAATGCAACTGGGATATG